TTCCCTTGAACCCATTAAGCTATTCTGTTTCCTTTAGGGAGAAAATAACTGTTTGGTTGCTGAGAAAGTGTGGGAATTGGAAGAAAACGTAAACCAGGCTATGAATGTAATGTTAGAACCGGAACTTGGTTGCAAGCCAAACCCAGTTTGTAGAATTTCGAACAAATTTGGAATCTTCATTTTTGCTTCTCTCTCTCTCTCTCTCTCCACTCAATCAGCTGTGCTTATAGTTTTGAAGTTTGATTCTTGATTTTTTTTTTTTCTGTTTTTGTCTCCATTTCTGTATTTGTTTACATTTAAATAGTTGCAAAATTATCAGAGTTTAATGGGTTTATCATAGTTTAATGGATTTTTTTATAGAAATTTGAAGAGTTCTTTGTGGTTTGTTTGGTGGAAATCGGAAGATGTCAGCTGTAATAGATAATTCAAATTTCTTGAATTTAATTTGATTGTTTTGGAAATTAAGAACTGCAAGGATTGCTGTCTAATTGTTGATGAGCAGCTTAAATTTCTTGATTGGTTTATGTGGAATTCTTCAACAATTAGTTGCATGTGTTTGTTTTTAAGGTATCATATTAACTGCATTTGAGCCCTTGAGGACTGATTGAAGAAAGCATTCAGTTTTTTCAGCAATTAGGAAAATAGCTATCTCTTTAATAATTACAGTTTGTGATTGTGGAACTGGGAAATGTGCAGGGTGGATTATGTTTTTTGACAATTTTGTCGAAAGTCGCCCAATAATTACTAGAGCGGTCTCTCAAAATGGGTCGGGAGCTTTTGTCTATGTATCAAGCCAAAACGAGGAGATTGCTGTGGATTGTGGGAATGTTGTTTGCTGTGATTTTAGTTGTCTGGCATCTTGAATTTCCATATGGTACTTTCTCATCGTCTATACTCTCTACTGCAAAGGTTCCGGTAGAGGGGAAAAGTCGCTTCCAAGCTGGGGATTCACCATCTGATTCTGAGGCGGTTGGTAACATGTCGCTTTCTAATGATTTGAACTACACTAGTAAATATGGAACTCACGAGATAGGTAACGATAGTAGGACGTTGGGTTTTGTATTAGAAGGAAGTGAGGGCTCAAACAGAACTTTAGAAATTGATGAGGATACAGGTGAAGATCAGGAGGAGCCATCTGATACTTTTGTAAAGCAAAATAGAACTTTTATTGTGAAAATTGTCAACCCCTTGGAGGCTGACGTTGCACAAGAGCGGCGTAAACAATTCTCTTTTGAAAAGCAAAATACTACCGAGACTACTTTTTCAGAAGGCGGGACTAGGAATGAAAGAAATACTACAGATGAAGTAGTAAATCCTACTGCTGGTTTTCCAACCACTTCACCTGCATCCCCGATGATAAATTCATCACCTATCACAGCTCCAGCAATTATTGAAACAAACGTTGGAGCACCCCCTATAGCTGTTGGCTCAAATGTGACTTTGGTTCAGAAAGATTTGACAACCTTGTCTCAGAAACCCAAAAAGTCTGAGCAATTGCATAGTGACCTCAACCAAACAGAACAAAGTTCTTCAATGACTAGGGTCCCCGAAGTGAACAAAGAGCCAGAGCGTCCGGCCTTGGATGCATATTCAATATCTGATATGAACAAGCTGTTGCGTAAGAGTCATTCCCCGTACCATTCAGTGGTACGCTTTAAAGATTAGATTTATGCTATTTGAATCTGATTTAAGTTTTTCTTAAAATGCTTCACCTCTTTGTTCTTATTTTTCACTGTTTTTTTTGTGTTTTTGTTTTTGGTCAGAAACCACTATGGTCTTCACCGGTTGACCGACAGTTGCAATTTGCAGCATCACAGATCGAAAATGCACCCCTTATAAAGAGTGATCAAACTCTTTATGCTCCACTATATAGGAATCTTTCCATGTTTAAAAGGTAAGTCAATGAAACCGTTGTATGTATGAATTCTTACAGTACAGTCTCGTTTAGAAGTTATTGTGAACAAGACAGGCTTGTGTCCACAAAAATGTTCTTACTGAAAAGCGTTTGATGGTATCTGTCATAAGCTGGTAACTTATTGGATAGGATCAAATGAAAGTTTTGGCGTATCCATTATCTTGCAATGTTAGTCGTTACTTTTTTCATTTAAAATCATTATAGTTTTTCTACAAATTTTATAAGTTGCGTTTGCGACTATTCAATTAATTATTCCTCTCAAGTGAATTCTCATCTAATTTGCAGGAGCTATGAATTAATGGAGAACACTCTTAAAGTATACGTATACAGGGAAGGACAAAGACCCATATTACACTCGCCATTTCTCAGGGGAATATATGCTTCCGAGGGATGGTTCATGAAGCTGATGGAAGCTGACAAGAGATTTGTCACTAAAAACCCACTGGAAGCCCACCTATATTACTTGCCTTTTAGCTCTCGAATGTTAGAGGAAAGGTTATACGTGGCCAATTCACACAGTCATAAAAATCTTGTACAATATTTGAAGGACTATGTGGACATGATTGCTGGGAAGTATCCTTTCTGGAACAGAACTGGAGGAGCCGATCATTTTCTTGTTGCTTGTCATGACTGGGTATGCTTTTCATGCTTCCTGTACGGTTTGGTTTGCGATTTTTGTAAGGGTATCTATTTTTAATTTATCTCTAAGTAGCATTCAATTTCAAACTGCAGATAGTTTTGAGTACGTTATATCAGTATATTTTCTAATAAAAGCTATTTCTTCAGGCCCCAACAGAAACAAAGGAAATTATGGCTATGTGCATAAGAGCCCTCTGCAATGCTGATGTCAAAGAAGGTTTTGTATTTGGCAAGGACGTGTCTCTTCCCGAAACATACATCAAGAATGATAAGAAGCCTCTCAGAGATCTCGGAGGCAATCATCCTTCCAAGAGGCCAATACTCGCTTTCTTTGCTGGAAACATGCATGGCTATGTTAGGCCAATCCTGTTACAGCATTGGGAAAACAAAGATCCTGACATGCAGATCTTCGGTCGATTGCCTAAAGGAAAGGGAAATAAGAACTACATCCGTCGTATGCAGAGCAGCAAGTACTGTATTTGCGCAAAAGGTTACGAAGTGAACAGCCCCCGAGTGGTAGAGGCCATTTTCTACGAGTGTGTTCCGGTGATCATATCAGACAATTTTGTGCCTCCATTTTTCGAAGTACTGAAGTGGGAGTCGTTTGCTGTTTTCGTGTTGGAAAAGGATATCCCAAATTTGAAGAACATACTCCTTTCGATCCCGAAGAAGAAATATCTACAGATGCAAACGAGGGTGAAAAAGGTGCAACAGCATTTTCTGTGGCATGCTAAGCCTGAGAAGTATGATATTTTTCATATGATACTGCACAACATTTGGTACAACAGACTCCATCAGATAAAACCCAATTGATACAGTAACATTATAGTCATGTAAATTCTGTATTTTCATTTAATTTTTTTAATTTTTAATTTATTATTCAATTTTGGTGTTGGAGTAATGGACCCTCTTGGAAAAAAGGTGAAATAACAAGGAAGTGAAGTGGCAGGTTGCATTTGAAATTTCAGAAATTTTTGGTTTCATGAACTGTTATTAAAGTATAAATATATTGTGTAAGCAAAGGCAGAGAAAAGATTTTTGTTCCCTCTTTTTCCCACTCTTCTTGTCATTGTGCATATATACCGACCATATATCACCACGGCCACCACCACCCACCATCATCTTCACCATCATGACTGTTGCCACCGCCACATATTGTTGTCTTTACTGTACCTGCCAACACCATCATCAACCATCATCACTGTTGTCTCCGCCACCACTACTAACACATTTCCTATCATCATCACCATCACGACTACCGCCAGCACTAGATATTGTTGTCTATCCATACGTGCCGCCACCACCATCATCACTGTCGTCTCCACCACCATTACTAGCATATTTCCTAACTACTAACTCTCATTTATATATTAATTTTATCCGCTTTAAATTTCGTATTTAAATTTCATTGTTCTTTAAAGTTAAAACCAAATAAGTATATTTACAAATTCTATAAAATAACAATTCCATCATTTCAATTATTTTATAATTCTTTAGTAATCTTAAATTTCTTCATCCAAACATAACGATAGAGTTTGACGAATTTTCTTAAAATTCTTTATATTTTTAAACTAATGTTAAAACTCTTTAAAATTTCAATTGAATACTGCTTAAGCTTGTTTTGGGTTAAACATCCTAGAAACAAATCCGTACAGTTATGGAAACAAATGTTGGTTATGAACAAATATGTGCATGTTTGGACTTAAGAGGACTGTATCTTACTCGGTAATTTCGAAAGTTTACGTTTAAAAATTGTCATCCTGCACACCTTCTTATACAAACTTTTTCTTACGTTTATAAATTTAAGTGTAGATGAGTTTTCAAGGTGACAATAACATGTTTTAAGTTAATCAATTTAATTAAGAATTTTTTTTTTAGTACATCGATATTTTACATTAGTAAAGGAGGAGTTTGGTTAAACCATACAATGAACATCCTAATTTGGTATCGAATTCGTCATTTATAAGATTCGAACCTAAGACCATCTCACTTCTAAGCGAAGAAGAATACCATTAGACTGTAATATTGAGTGATAATTTAATTATGAAATTAATTCAGCTTCATTTAGTTTGATCTCTCTAGAGTTTAGAACAATCCCAAATCAACCGTTAAAAGTTACAGAGCAAGCTCAGTTATGATTCCAGCACGTGGCCCGACCATTGTTCACGTCAAAGTTAGTGCACGCCTCGAGCCTCTAACTCCTTAAGATTTATATCCTGACCGTGCGAACATATGATTCTTTACGAACAACGCACTCAGATTAATCCAACGTCTACAGATAATTGTTTAAAATGACGATTGCCACACCCTATTAGTTCTCGCCTCGGTTGGAAACATCCAGCATGACCACTTTACCCTTTGTTTGATGCTTCCTTCGAATTATCAAGGGCAAAAATGTCTTTTTGACATGAGCAATCAAAATAATAAAAACAAACGAAGACAGAAGCCGTTCTTCATCTGTTAGCAAAACCTGGAAAAAGCGGTTGAACAATACACATTAACCTGCAAATCTGATATATCCAAATCCTAATATCCATATTTTTTTCATGATTTTTAATTTAGTTTTCCTTTAATTTATCTGTTTTGTCAATAAATTAAATCTTTGGAATTTTTCAAAGTTTATTACGTTGATCAATTTTCAATGAAAAAGGTAGGTGGAAACAAAAAGCAGATAAAGTCTCTTATCATCCGATCAAAACCAAACAGCAAGACATTAGATTAAATTAATTTACAGAGATTGGTGGTGGAATACATGGCTACTTCTGTCAAGGTGAAGAGCGGCGGCACCCTGCAGGATGGTTCTTCAAAGGGAAAGATTGGATATTCTGTCACTAAGAAGAAGATTGAGAGCTCTTCAAGCAAGCAGCAGGCAGCTGATTCCAAGCAGAAATCTGTGCAGACTGTTACAAAAACTGAGGTAAAACGCATGTCAAATTTGATTGAATTTTTTGAACTTTTTGACCTTAAAGTTTTCTTCTTTGGATTGGGTTTTCAATTGGGTGAATTGGGTTTGTGGGGTTGTGAATTGATTTAGCTGTTTCTGATGGATTAGGTGATGTTCTAATTTGGAATTGCTAATTAATTTGGATGATTGACAATGGCATAGTGAAATTTGTGGTTCTGTTCTTAATTTTTGACCTTAAAGTTATATTCTTTTGATTGGTTTTTCAATTTGGTGAATTGGATTTGTGGGTTCTGAATCGATTTATGTGTTTTCCATGCATTAGGTATATTGGTTTGGGGTTTCTGGTGTATTCTGAATTTCTAATTTCGGTTTCTTAGATTATTTGGATAGGCGAAGTGATCTCCGCACTCCTATTTTCTCCTTCTGCATTCTGCCCCTTGTTTATGGTTTTAGGATTGAATAAATCTAAGGAGAATCAAGAGGCAGAGGCAAAGGGAGGAGCGCAAAGGAGAAACAGGGTGTGTGAAATTCACTACCCCTTGGATAATTGACAATGACATGGTTGATTTGTGGTGCAACCTATGTTTCTCTGACGGGTTCCAGGGTTCATGGTATCAGACTTGACTGTATTGATTTCATGTTGGGTGTGATGGATTCAGTATTAGTTGTTCAAATGTGCAGGTAAAATCAAAATTGAATTCGGTATCAAAGACGATAACAAAGAAAACCACGACAAAAGTGAGAGAGAAGAAAGTATACACTTTGGCAGGCCAGAAGTTTGATCCTCCAGAAGAGGTTCTTCTTTTCCCATCACTTTTATTTATATGCTTGTTTTAGTTTATATTGATAAAGAGCCACTCATCCCTGTGTTTCTTTATTGCTTTCTATTTCCAGAGAGAACCTTTGAGGATCTTTTACGAGTCATTGTCCAAACAGATACCAACAAGTGAAATGGCAGAATTCTGGTAACTTTTCCTTATGTATATAAATCTTTTATCCTTCTATTTGATCATATGGGGAATGTACAAACTAGTTAAATTCGATTTCACTGCAAGGTTGATATTCTGGGAAGTAACTTTATATCTGCGAGGCACCCTTCCATTCAAAAGTTCTTCAAATGATAGTGATTCCTCAAAGCCAATTTAACCTTAGTTGACTGCTTCCGTAATTTTAGGATCCAGGTCATGTTTAGTCCGATGATGGTGCCTTTTCACAGTCTTGGATATGCCTAAGCCAATATTCATCTGGAAGAATTGCATATAATTGTTATGTGGACAACAACCATACCAGTAAGCTGCATGTTCACTACCAAAACAAGTATATTTTTCTATAGGTGATGGCTTCCAACTCTATGTGTAGTTGGGATGGATAATATGAATTTTCAATGAAGTGTGAAGAGTGTAAACTTTATAGGAAGTGAGAAAAAGTCATAGTAAAGCAGCTTTCTATGTCCCTTCGGTTTCATAATCAGAAGTTATTAGCTAAGCAGCACAAAAATCTTTCTCTTATTGAATCAACAAAACAGATAAAAATTCATGATTTTGCACAGGCCCTGTTTTTTTCCCCGATCTGCACTGTGGTAGGTTGGCTATCTCTCGATAATTTACCCCACTTTTTTCTTATTTGATGAACTTTATGAATTAGGACTTAGGACCAGCTGTATTTGTTTCAATTTATACCTCATTTGACTGCGGCACTGAATGCTAACCCGAACAATCTTTTTTCGAAACTTTAGTCAGCCAGTTTATTCTTGAAACTTTATGAGAATGAATGGACACTACACTGACAACCATGGACATTTGAAATTAAATCCAGAAACACTGTGGTTTACTGATGAGCTCTTGCACGTTATATCATAACATTGGAATTAGATTCTCGTCTAGAAACACTTGGTTAATTTGGTAGAACAGCATGACTGTCGCAAATTTGTCTATGGATTGTTTCGGTTTTGGTAATATAACTTTATCTGATCTAACATCGGTAGTTGTTGAAAGTGCCTTACATTCTAAATTTTTCTTTGGAACACGTTTGATCAGTTAGAAATAGAACCATGGAAAACAATAGTAATTTTTAGCAGATTTAAAAATTGACCAATCTTAAACAGTGTGAACCAAGATCAGTTTTGCATTTGGTTGCTGCTGATGAATGTGCTCAGGTTGCAATTCAACATGATCCAACCCATTTGCAGTCCTGCAATAGAATTCATTTTCTCTAGTCTTCGTTGCTTTTTGCAGCACTGTGAATGAATGGCTAGTGGGTCAAGCGTTTCTGTGCAATGTGCGTATCAGAGTTTCTGATGAAAAACGCTCTCAAGTTTTTGAATACACGAGGAATCCCCCTTGAATGTGCAATACTCTTTGGCCTCTAATCCTCAACTATATTTGTTGAACTTGAAAAACAAATCACTTTTGGGTTTGCATAGGTTTCTACTTTTCGTTGTTTGTTTATTTTGTTGGGTTGGTTAATGAACTTCTTATTTACACTAGTGCCCACACAAATTTGAAAACTAACCGATGAACTTATAAGAGCCTAGCAACTGTTCTGGGGTTCGTTTCTCTTGTTGATTTGCAACATCTCATATAGGAGTTAGTTTATGATTGGTGTGCATTGACTCATGAATTTTGGATATGCTGCTGAATTAGGTGCTATGTGAATTTCTTCTAAACGTTGGTTGTGCTCAACTCATTTGCAGGATGATGGAGCATGGCCTTTTGTCCCCTGAAAGATCCAGAAAGGCATACGAGAAGAAGCAGAGAAAGCAAAAGCAACTCCGTTTGGGAACCCCTATTAAGTCTACACCAAAACCACCAAGTAAACCTGAGAGTTCACAGAGGCCACAACTGCAGGCATCTAAGAATGGCGATGTAAAAGCCATGAAGAGAGTTATCAAAGAGAGTGACGACGACGACGATTTCATTTTAAGTCCCAAGAGAAGGAGAGCGTAAGCGAGAAAATTAATAAAACCCTTCATTCTCTGCAGCAGTGTACTTTTAGAAATTGCTCTATTTAGATTTCTTTGTATTCAACCAAAAGAATTGGGCGGGAACTATTAGACATCAGACAAGGTGAGAGAAAGACATTCTTTGTTACTGTCTAACTTATGGAAACAATAAGCAAAGACTTCCATTTTTACTTCTGTTTCAATACTTGTAGTAGTTCATCAATTGTGTTACAAACGCTGGTTATCCGAAAAATAACGTTATCGTTGAGGTCTTGTTTATCTATGAGGTAACTCAAGTTCAATTGACAGGGTGAAACAAATCTTCATACCTAAGAATAAATCCCACGTTTCGGCTTCCAAAACCTGGTCAACAGCCGGATTAGCAACAAAACCAGATTTCCAATCCACATTGAGTTTTACAATGAAGGTATTTTCCTCAATGGAGAGAGAAGCTTTCAGCTAATTGCGGTTCTAATTTCTGAAAATAATGCAAGTTTGCATATGTAGGCACAGTTGTGAATCACATAAATGTCTGAGCATGAACTGAGATGGGGAGATTCAATAACTGGTAGTACATCGTTTTCCTTCATCTTTAGGATTCAAATGAATTAGATAATTAGCTCACTATATCTAAATACGTCAAACGAAGAAATGGATGTCACTTTCAAATTTTATTCTGTTGAAGGTTGAAGGAATGGTCTCTAGAACTTATCCCTTGCAATCCTACCTTTAATTGTATTCAATTGATGATAGAAGAAAGAGTCTCTGACATCGTCTAGTGATCAAAGATTAAGGTAGAAGAATGATTAATCACAAAAAAAGCATCGTATAGTAATTAATTATGTTTTTTTGTTATCCCATATGTCACGTGATTAAGGAAAGAAACACAAGGGGATATATAACTGAGAATTGTTAAGGATCTCAGACTGAGATTACATACATTAATTAAGTAAAATGAGAGGTGGTGTGTAATATATGTGAATAAAAAGATAAACATTGAGCTATACAAACCGAGAGTAGCTAAGAATTAATCTCCAATTGAGATGCCATTTAAGTAATTAATTAAGATGTGAAAGGGTCTGTGATGCATGTGGTATCTGTCATCTCTGTCATTGTGGTCATGCCTTCATGGCCATGGCCGGGCCGGGTGGCTCACCCAATGCCAACAGCTGCATTTAATTCACACTGAGTCAGTGATAGCATCTGCATTCCGAGCAAAGGGACTCATATAGAGTTACTACTCATCGAACCACTAATGCGGACCATTTGTAACAAAAGCATGAGCTTCCAGTGTGATCGAAGACCAGTGACTGCATCAGCATGGTCATACAATACGTATTTTCTAAAAATTAAAATCAACACAAACACTGATCAGTTTGCTGAACCGCACGTGAGTTGAACATGAACTCACATATATTCTTTATTATCTAAAACAATAAATATGATCAACCAATTAGAAATCTGTATATATATCTATATATATATAGGTCATCAGGCTCCACATACCATGTTTGAGATTAATGTTTAGTCTGATGTGTGTAGACTCATGAACATGCTTTCACATGAACTGCATGTGAATAGAGCATGAAAGTAACAGATTATTTACTATTTAATTAGTGTAGAGATTGATAAATATAAGAATAATAATGATAATAGTAGTAGTAATAATAATGTCGATCGAAGATTAATTTGAAAATTGGGTAGACTAAAATATAATTTATATTGAATGGTTCAACTTTTAACTGCATCAATGTTTTTTGTGATAAAACTCAGAACTTTGCAGGTGTTTAAATTTGAACAATATCGATGTATACTCAACTTTGAGATCTCGACAAATAATTCTAAATAATAAGAAAACATAAATAAAAAACTGATTTCTTGAAATAATTAATGAATAATGTCTAGAAATGAATTGAACCAAGCTATAATATGTCATCCAAGTTAGGGGAGGTGTGTGAAGGAATCATATGACAGATGAAATTAAAGCCACATGATTTCACAGTTGCAGAAAAGCCCCCTTAATCCCAGTGCAGTCCCATCCCATATCCACATTTAAATCCAACAAAACATACAGGTCAGTGGAATGAGAGTTGGCCATAACAGATACAAAGTTGAAACTACTAGCTAGCTAGGGGTTTTTGCCCAAAAGAAAAAGGTAACTAGGGTTTTGCTTTTCTTCTTCTTTGATAAACTCTGAGCTAAAAAGTCCCCAGCAGCAGAAACCATGCAGATACAGTGTTGGGATTTTGTTCATACCAAAAAAATTAAATACACATTAACTTCTTGCCTGCTAGTAGAAACTGGTCAATTCTTTGCCAAGGTACATTAGTCCTATATATGAGAGTACCTGACAGTTTGTTATAATGTTATAATTCTAGTAAACATTGATTTGATTTATCACAAAGGTTTATTATTGTTTGTGCCAGAAATCATCCTCCCCAAGTCGGCTGTGGACTTTCCTCATTCTAATAATATTCCCCAAGAGAATTGTGTGTTTATACAGTAAAATGCACTTCATTTTCTTGCAAACAATCAATGTCAGTGCTGCATATAATATACAAACAACTTCATAGCAGGTAAGCCAAGTACCACCGTACAATGCCACTTGAAAACTAATTAAAGAATCAGCGAGTTAAGTCACTCGCACGCGTGAACTGATCTTATTAGCCGTTGATATATGTAGGATTCACAAACTCACAATGAATCCTAACATTTGGGCAACTTGAGTGTAGCATTTCTCTTAAAAAAAAAAAAAAAAAAATCACGAAATGAAATGAGAACCTACTGCTATTGCTAGCTAGTATGCTAAAAGATTGTTTTACCATTTGACATATAAGAGAAATGAATTGGGAAACTACTGGTAGCTATGCTAGTATGCTTAAAGATTGTTTTACAGCCACACAATGCCCACTTCAAACTAGCTAATTAAAGAATGATCGAGCACAGGTAAGTAAGGTCATTCATGCACGTAAAAAATTGAATTGATCTTGGTCGTTGATGTATGTAGGGTTCACAAAACACTAGTGGTATACTCTTAGGTGGCTAAGCATGTTCTTACAAAATTACGAAATGAAATGAGAACCTATATTCCTAATGCTAGTATGCCAAGAGATTGAGATACCATAGGGTAAAAGTGACCCAACGTGACAGACACCATCTAAATTCTAATCATCTAAAGTTCTAAACCACTTTGATGGAATCGCATTATATAGAGTCTATACCTCTATAAATCCATCACTTTTCGTATGCGCATACACTCAAAAGTCTAGTCACTTGAAATTGCATGCTATGTTAAATATAGAAACAAATCAAAATCTTGATTCTGCAACTTTTAAATCCACACGAGACTTGATCTGCCTGATCAATTGCTAAGTAAAGCCACAAGGACCTCCCAACCCCAATAATATAATTGTTTCCACGGTAGTTGGGTTGAATCAAGTTTCCTCAATCAAAAGCATAAATTATCGAAGAAAATAACAATAATGTAGATTTTACATTAGCGTTCTCTTATCAAACTTGTATATATCATAGTGTAAGAACTATACATTTAGGTTATAAAAAAATCACATAATCAGTGGTTCAAATTTATAATTTTGTCAAAAGTTATTGAAGAACGAATTTTTCATACTTGTGCACGTACCAAATTGTTATTTTATCAATACTGCAGATCATCAATTGGAAATCACAGATCAAGTCAAATCTCAAGAGAATATGTAATACCCATACAATTTTTTAGTTAACTCTCCCAAAACATTCTTTTATCATTATGTTATACTGTCAATCCTTGTAGTCATTGATCAAATCGATCCTTATGAGAGCATTATTCTAAAAATTCCTACTAGCGTCGTCTATGTATTAGGCGGTTGACCACTGTCCGATTAATTCTAAGACATTTGGAAATTAAAAAAGGAGACCGTATATGCGCCTACCTAGCCCGCCCAATCTCGTCTAGGTGCCTAGGTCACGACTCTTACTTAAACAGAAAATAGATAACTTTCGTTTTGCATTATGTTCTAATGCTTTATAATATATATGTCATTCTATTTTGCAATTTATGTATCCTAATGCAATTATATATTTTTTAAGTATAAGCAGACACTTATGTATACAATATATAATAAATTTACTTAAATCCGCCTAGTTCACCTAAGGCCCCCACCTAGGTCCCACTTAGCTGCCTAGGTGCTAGACCCCAAGCACCATTCGACTAGTGTCTAGCGTTTTTTAGAACCTTGTATGTGAGTGTAATACATAAAAAGCTTGACCACCAAACCTAACATGTGATAACCCAAGATGTCCTTTTTAACATGTGATACTATATGAACTTCGAAATTATATTAGTCGATGGTTGTTGTTGATGAATTTTTCATTGAAAGGATTAGAGTGATTAGTGATCTGTTGGGCTGGATGATTTGGGGGTGCATTTGCATGGTTGATTTGGGTTAAATGGTTGTGTCGGGGTACTAATTATACACAATGTTCATACGATGATTTGATTCATTTCAACTGATAGTTCTTGCATGATTTGACATAGCTACGTACGTGTGCCGTGGTATTACGGCCACATGATCAATGCTTAAACAAAAATTGCATGGCTATGAATTTAAGTTGTAGTACACTAGTACTGCCTGTGGAACTTTATATGGATATGAGCACTTACTCTCTGCTCACAACAGAGACCAGAAATATCAAACGTATATATGGGTCCAAGATTATGTATACATCACCACCTCATTAAGAAGGTACTTTTTCAACTTGTTATTAAAGTACCATGTACCCTATTGGAATAGTAAAGAATATTGTGAGGTCTCAAGGACGATCGATGATGATGATGCTATATGGTAGTTTTGATTTCACCTAACGTAATTAAGATGAAATCATAGATTGATCTTTGATCAAAATAGAGTAACATATATTGTACTGTACAAATGCGATGTAATTTATAAATTATAAGGGAGAGAAATGCAGGTTTATTGGCCTAGATTAGAATATCGTTTGTACAAAAAGATTGGTAGAGACAATAGATTATGTAACAAATTAAGTTGTTTAATGATTTATCATTGTACGTGTTATTAGCATAGCAAATAAGGTTCAAAGTGAACTAAGAATATTATAATAAAACCAAATACGATAACAATATTTAACAAATGAAATTTGATGTCTCTAGCAATATTCGTTTGTAAATTTGAAGTGGACATTCAAGAAGGGAGCCTAGGCAAAAAAGACTCTTAATTTAACTGTATAGAATTGTCATTTTCAACATGCAATGTTGTAGGGTAAAATCACATTTATTAGAATATCAAGGCACCATATAATCGTGGACCAAGCACAATAGGAACCGTTGCCATGGATGGGCCAAGATCGATCGATCATATAATGGTTGGGACCCCATGATGAAATGTCTAATATAAGTTGGTGTTCAATGCAACATTGCAACCACTACCTCATCATATGGATTGGAGGATCACTTGTCTAATTCTATTTCAAGTTTTGCTGTCACAATATCTTCCTAGATTGAAAATCTTTTGTTGTACTTGCTTAACAATGTAATAATTCAGTTTTGAATCAAAATACTGAGTTGATTTACTTATCTGATGTTACTTAGATGACTACAAAATTTCCTAAAAGTCATAAACCCACTTGTATGATGAAATCGGGATGAGAGAAAGTCGAAAAGGAACGTACAAAATGGAAGGAACCTGGCACTTTGACTACTCAAATTGTTTTGAACTAATGATTCATACCCAATTTGATTAACTAAACCAAGTTTAGTGCAAAAGGCTCTAGTTCCCACATTCTCTATTATACAGGATAGCAACTTATATGTCATGGATACCGTTAAATATTTTGTGTTCATATTTCAATATATATATATATATAGCTTACCTGTCATACAATGCGATGCAAGATGATATTTAATATTAGTGCATGCAGCAGCGTGGACCATGCGGTGACGATGATGCAAACCCTTACTGATTGCCGCCACCTCACCCAACCCCCCCTAATTATGAGAAACTTTTCATTGTGACAGGAACACGTATGGTACATCACTTGTTTTTATGAAAGTGATGAGAAATTTTATTTTTTAAATTATTAACTTTTTAACACACATGTCCCATCATTTTTATAATAATAAATGATATATCATCTTGTGTGCTGATCACACTGAAAATTTTCTGCTTAATTATGTACCACACGTACTTTCAACAAAACCATCCTTATCTCCTCTCTTCTTTTCTCTGTTTTTTTCTCTCCTTTAGCTTTTGGAAAATTTTCCTATCAACCAAACACAAATTAAAATAACAAATTTGATCAATAAAAGAAATGACAAGAATGTCGCTTTATATGCACACGCATTTAGAGAAATTCTTGAAAACTTAACATGTTACGTTGTTAGATTGTTGAGATTAGCCGCGCAAAACCATGTTAGAGTTTGTAACGTCTTTAGGTATCTGGCTGGACGACATAATACACTACATATCTGTTGACTCAAGGGCTTAGCTTGGTAAAGAAGGGACGATATAGAGGAAGAGAATGCAAGCTCTCCAACAATCCCCAACCATATACATTCAGAGGAATTTTTCCGTTGAGATTAGTAGCTTACACCGGCTTTGCGGGTTAACTAAACGTAGTCCATCAGGATTAAATTAACCCTAATTTATCAGAACCCACTACGCAAGGGGTATTGCCCACTTGGTTTCGTTTTTTTTCTTCAATCCAATGTGTAAAGAAAGTTGAGGTTCTACCGTAAAATCAATCAACAATATGAAAAGTAGCCTAATTCGTTATAAGTCCTTGCATGATTTGGTCCCTCATTGATGTAGGACTTTGGTCCTCACATTCTCATAATGCGTCCCTGGTTCATAATACCATTCTCCCCACCTTTAATGTAGTTTAGAGTAAGAATGTCACTTGTATTTGAGAGAACAAACCCCTAATTATCAGGATCAACCCGGAAAGGAGGTCGACAAAGAGGAAGAAGATAAGGGACAAATGAATAGTGAAACATGGGTGAAAAACTGCTAAAGATATCAGACCATGAAATAAATGGCTTGCATGGTGGTGCTAGATGAAGGGGACCCCACGGAACCATTGCCCTAAAGCAGTGTGACCATCTCTCACTCTCCTCTCTCCTCTCTCCTCTCTCTCTTTCTCTCCCCCCATATTTCTTGTTTGTCACTCACTCTCTCTCTCCCTCCCACTCTCATTCTCTATAAATGTTGTATGACTCATCGGGAAAGATATCAAATACAAAAAAGGAAAAAGATTGAAACTTCTCCTCCATAACTAGCATGCTCCCATTTCCTTCCCTCTGCTAAAGAAAACCAGTGCTACACTCTTTCACAACAAAATACGCCAAGTCCTTTTCTTTGAGACATTTCCACAAGCACTTACAAGGCACCCATTAGAAATGAGCGCTGATCAACCCCAGAGTTCAGAAACTGAAAGCAGCTCCAACTCGTCCACTTCCGCATCGCCTCCTTCCTCGCCTTCCTCACTCCAAACCCAAAACCCACAAAAACCCAGCTCGCCAATTCACCAAGGAATCGACACTCCCTGCAAAAAAAATGCCAAACGAGTCAGAGACTCCAGCAAACACCCGGTTTATCGGGGGGTCCGAATGAGGAACTGGGGCAAATGGGTATCCGAAATCCGCGAGCCTCGGAAGAAATCGCGCATTTGGCTCGGCACTTTTCCGACTCCTGAAATGGCCGCCAGGGCCCACGACGTCGCCGCTTTGAGCATCAAGGGCAACTCAGCGATTCTCAACTTCCCGGAGCTCTCCGACTTGCTGCCTCGCCCGGTTTCAAACGCCCCCCGCGACGTCCAGGCAGCCGCCAGCAAAGCCGCGGAAATGCACCAATTCGACTCCATCCCGTCAATGTCGCCGTCCCCCTCGTCGCTGTCCTCGCTCGTCTCGGCCATAGACAACTTGTCGTCCGAGTCGGACGAGCTGAGCGAGATCGTCGAGTTGCCGAGTCTGAGTTGCGAGTCGACCGAGTTGAGAAGCGAGTTCGTGTTTGTGGACTCGGAGGACCAATGGGTTTATCCGCCGGCGTGGCTGCCGCGCGTTGGGGAGTTCGAATGCAGTGAGTTGGGGGCGGCGAGTTCAGTTGGGTTTGAGTGTTTGTTATGGGATTATAATTAAGTAGCACAACTTGCCGCACTCGCACTCGCACTTGCACTCGCACTCGTACGTAATTGACTCTTCATTTTATTATTTATTTAAATATATTTTAAAAAATAATGAACTTACTAATCACTCGCACTACCACTTCACTCCTTTGTGTATATAGTTTAGCCGTTTCTGCTAATTAGCTGTTAATTAATTAAGAGTTTGTAAGTGTGAGCTTTCTTTGTTTATTTTTGGAGTTTTCAGTGTTTTCGCTCTTTGGATTTTTACTGTGAAGGGCTTAAATTCTGATCATCTCTCTCTCTCGTTTCCTTTTTACTTTGTACTCTGCTTTTGTGTAATTGTACAGTGTACTAGTCTACTGTTTTTAGGATGGAAAGCAAATGCCACGAGACGTTTTCTTTCCTCTTTGGTTGGCAACTTTGGTGCAAATAGAATAAAGCCTTTGTCTTTCGGTTTCTTTTTCTCATCAAAACTAATTGTACCCGCAACTTCTTTCATTCCATACTCATTTATTGGCATGCTTGTCCTAATTTGCAAATTCATTGAGCTTCTGATATACTAATGGGGAAGCGCCACCGGTTTCTTAAGCGTTTTGGTCCATCACGGAGGGAATTTGTCCTGTAACCGCGAATATATCTTGAGGAAAACTAACGAAAAATCTAAAAAAATTTCCCTTTTAATGAAAAGTCATTTTTAAAGTCATAATGCATAGTACCAGAGAAATGTATAAATGTGATTTGTCGTTAAAAGTGAACAGTATCGGAAGAGTTTTGTTAATCTTCCCTGTATCTTGTCCATTTTCATGACACTCGTCGCGAGACTCTGTTGTTGGAGTGCTATATAGGAACAGGGTGATCCATTCATTCCCTTACTGTACAACTCATCACGAGGCTCTGCGACTAGAGTGCTATAGGAAGCGCCGGATTATTCAGTGTGTATTTACAGCACTCGTCACAAGACCCTGTTATTGGAGTGTTGTACCAAGGACGTTCTTGTACGAAAAGCCAGATACATCTCGATCCTGCTGAACTCAAAATCTCCTTTTCGTTGGAGTGTTGTATAAAAACAAACGATATCCCCGGACGTACGAGAGAATTCTTTTGTTGGGTACTCGAATTAAACAAACACCATGCAATTAAGAACAAGTCCAAGGGAAAAATGGGACTGGTGATGCAAGTCTAATTACTAATCGAACCCACGGAGGGTCCTCCTCCAAATGAATAATACAATAATAAGAACAACAACAGTGACACTACGGAGAGTAGAGAGACTGCAGTTCTTTGAAAGAGAGATTTTATGAACGTTTGGTGGTTTGAATTTTTGGCAGATGCACGCTTGCTAGAATCCAGATGGTGAAACATGATGAGCTGTGAATGGGACAATGACAGTGATAGTTAAATATTTTACCATACACGGAGGCAACAGCTATTGGTCTGGTTTCAGCTAGTTTTTCTCCTTTCTCCGTTAAAACTTATCTGCATCGATCCAATCCTTTTGCAATTCATGACATTGATTTTTTGACCTCTGTTCTGTTTTGTTGTTTTGTGGTGGAAAAATGAAGGCTTTGCCAGAAAAGCCAAAGTCCATGATATTTTATCTCTTTCTCCTATTGCTGAAGAAGAGACAAGTTGGAGAACCATCCTTGATTTTGAAATTGCAGCAGTTATATTATATCTATATATTTCAGTGTTTGGCGTGCACTAGAGCAGTTACTAGTTTGATATACAGATAAAAGGATTCAAAGGCTTAAAATCACGAATCTTTCGAGCTGATTTTAGTACGCTTTTAGCTTCGGGCACTCTTCGCGCGGTGGCTACATATTAGGTTATCAAATATTGAGTCGGGGTATTTGCAAAAATCTTGAGCCTATATATCAAATGGCTAAAAATTTGGGAGTGTTATACACTAGTATATACTAAAAAAAAAAAAAATCCAAAAACTGATTTTAGTACACCTTTTTTAGCTTAAAGCACTCTTCGCACTGATACATATAAAATTATCAAATATTCAGTCTAGAAAGCAAATGGCTAAAATCCTATAATACCAAAATAAAATAGAAACCACTACCCTTTTGATTTCCAACTGCAAATAATTATGTTGCTGAAAGTTAGCTCAATTATTTGGCCACAAAACAAACTACAGCTGATATTTACCAATGAATTAGTGATCGATTGCATGGTTGGATGGCATTTTTACGTCCTCTATTTCTATAGTGCATGCTTTCAATTTTCAACCATTTTGGTCCCACGACCTTTTGAAGTTGATTTTTCATGGTTTATATTAACATGGGGAGACAAGTAACACATGCACAATTACCATACATTTGGACTCTCCAGAACCATAGGGTAATCAAGGGAGTCCGTGCTAGTGAACCAAAAGGCATTTTTTCAATAATGTTATGAAGATCAAAATTTTAAATTAAATAATGCGTCATTAATAAAAAAAAAATAGCAAGCATGTTATTCAACGCTTAAGTGATAATTCAATCATGAACAACCATATCATTTAGTTTACAAAATTCGGTTTAAAAATTTAGTCTCCCTATCATTACCCTTTCTCAATTATTGCAGAAATTGACCACTTCAATTGTTCTTGTTTCTGGTTCCTGAAATAGCTTAGCCCTCTGTGGTAATCATTCTTGTTAATTACAAAAGGATAATGGTGGAGTTAGAAAAACATGAGTTTGATACAAGTGAACGACAAAATTGATCAATTGAGAACCAAAGATATATATTGTATTTATAGAGTTTTAAAAAGTTAGCAAGTTAGCAATTTGATTTCTTTTTATATCAATATTTTCTGTATTAGCGTTTTGCATCAATCAACAGGATCCTCGTCGGATTCTTTTGATGAGGATTTTAAGGATCTGTAAATGGTGTTCGTTCATCGTTCATCGTACATCGTGAATTCAGTTTTTGTCAAGTACTGTTTGTATTTAATTTTAAATAAAAATATTTAAAATGATTTCTGACCGCACTACGTACGATGAATGGATATGATTCACGAATTTCTGGAATCCTCACAAAAAAGATGAAGATTTGAATTCTTGCATTAAGACAAGGATTAAGATTACTTTCCTATTTGTTATTAGGATTTATTATTGCTTTCTTGTTTTTCAAGATTAGGTATATAAATACATTTCTTGTAACTCTTTCGAAATAAAGTCTTGGCAAATTAGAAAACATGAGTTATGATATAAGTGAATAACGAAATTGATCATTGAAGGATCTAAGGTATTGTGTTAATAGATTGTTAAAAGTTAGCAAAGTTAGCAATTTGGTTTATTTTTATATTAAATTTTATGTACTAGATAGGGTTTATGATTGCTTTCCCATTTGTTTTAAGATTAGGTACTTATAAATACATCTCTCGTCTAGACAAATAAATATGTACATATAATTTCTTTTTTCTCAAGATAATAAGAATCTATTTAAAAATTAGTAAATTAGTTTTTTCTTCTTTTACATCATTTGGAACCATACACGGTGTCACATGTAAAATTCTCGCACTGCAGCCTGCAGGGTTTTAATTTAAAGTAAAACGGTACAATAATAATGCAATAGAAAAAGAAAGTATAAGATCTTCAACGTATGTCACAAAATCATTAGGGGTTGATAAATACAAAAAAAAATTATTAGTTAGTTATATAGATTAATTATTAGGCCAAAGACGAAAGGTGTAAACTAGAATACTTACCTAACAATATTTATTAATTATTAGATTTTATTTTCTATTTTTGAATGATTACTTCATGCTTTGGTACGTAGGATTCGTGATCCAGTACATGATTAAAGCTGCCAATATAAAATCAAGCAGTGGGAAAGGATGAGACAAGTTAATTAATTAAATTATTTATGATCAGAATTATGCAAAAGCATTACAGTGACGTTATAACCCCTATTATTTTTCTTGATAGCTTGTTGGTGTCTGCAATAATCTGCATGCCTACCAGACTTTCAAACACGATCGTCAGGGTTTAGTCAGCTGAGTTATAATAGATTATGGATAGATTCTGATGTATTCTACCAGTCCACCTCCGAATTAATATTTTTTTTATTTTTTTATTTTGTCGAAATTCAAATTTATTAAAGATGAATTGAAATGTTTACATCAGAAAACAGAGTGTTAAACAACCACTCTGGCTCAAACCGATCCCACAAATGAAACCCCCCCCCCCACACGCGTGACATAAGAAGTCACTTGATGTGCAACCTCATTACAGACACGAGGAGTAAACAGAAACTCTACTGAACTCACTTGTTGTCGAATATGGTTCATATCCCAAAGGATACCTTCCAAATTTGCCTCTAGAGCCAAGACCCCATTAATAATATCCACCAAGACCTTCGAATCCGTCTCGAATTGAACAAACTCGAACCTAAATTCCAAACAAGCCATCATTGCCAATCGCAATGCTTCCGCTTCCGCCATCAAACTAGTGTGAACACGAAAAATTCCTGAAAACAAGAAACAAGAATACATGTACAAAATAATATTTTGTGTATTTAAAGATTTTGGGGTTACGATCTCTTAAATTTGGTCCTCTGATTCGATCTCCGTAAGATGTAGATTTGTTGATCCAAGGGCCGTCGATGCTTGATTTTAGATGAACAGTTGTAAGTTTCTTCAAGGGCCTTCGTGGCTTTGATCTTGAAGGTTGATGGAAGTTTCTTCAAGGGCCTTCGGGGCTTGATCTTGAAGGTTGATGGATGAGCGGATCTTCAAGGGCTTTTGGGCTTGATCTTGAAGAACGGTTGGTATTCTTCAAGGGCCGTCGAGGCTTGATCTTGAATGAACAGTTGGTTTTCTTCAAGGGCTTTTGGGCTTGATCTTGAAGGTTGATGGATGAGCGGATCTTCAAGGGCTTTTGGGCTTAATCTTGAAGGAGGATTTGACGAAGAACGAAGAGTGCTTTCTTGATCCTTCGGGATTTTCTTGAGAGCTTTAGAACTTTAAGGCTTCAAGGTTTTGGTGTGTGTCTTTGTTGATGTTGTTGATCCAAAGGGCCGTTGGGGCTTGATCTTAGGATGAACGGATGATGAATGATGAACACTTTCTTCAAGGGGCCGTCGGGGCTTAATCTTGAGTTGGTGGAAGTTCTTCAAGGGCCGTTGGGGCTTGATCTTGAGTTGGTGGAAGTTCTTCAAGGGCCGTTGGGGCTTGATCTTGAAGGAGGATTTGACGAAGAACGAAGAGTGCTTTCTTGATCCTTCGGGATTTTCTTGAGAGCTTTAGAACTTTAAGGCTTCAAGGTTTTGGTTTGTGTATTTGTTGAGGTTGTTGATCCAAAGGGCCGTTGGGGCTTGATCTTAGGATGAACGGATGATGAATGATGAACACTTTCTTCAAGGGGCCGTCGGGGCTTGATCTTGAGTTGGTGGGAGTTCTTCAAGGGCCGCTGGGGCTTGATCTTGAAGGAGGATTTGACGAAGAACGAAGAGTGCTTTCTTGATCG